TAATAATTATTTAATATTGTTAAAGATAAAAAAGTTGAAATTAATTAAATAAGTATTAATTAAAAATTGTGATTAAAAAATAATAAATAATAAATTTGTCAATAAAATTAAAAAATTACAATTCATTAGTGGTTTTAATCCAAACCACCATCTCTTAGTCATAAATCATTAAATAAAAATTTTTACCAAACACAGTATTTGTAACGATTTCAAAATATATAAATTTACTAGGTACTTACCTTTAACGATTTGGATAAAATCACCAATCACTATCTTAAACCATTACATTAAATAAGCCCTAAGTAAAAATCAACTTTTAACTTTTAAATATTAATTAATGTTAAAAAATATAATAATTGCACTTTTAATATACAAATTAAAAAAACATATTATCTTCTGTGGGTTATGTGTTCGACTCTTACGGAATTCCTTTCTGCCTTCTTCTAATTAATATGTAAATAATTGCAATTTATTAAAAAAAATCACATTACCTTAATTAGGACAACTAATCTAGGTTGAAGTAAATACTTGATTGATTAATTTTATAATGCTATTCTCATTTTTCGTTGTAAAAATGATTCTAAAATATCTATTTAGTTGAAATTTGAAGAATACATTTTTAAAATGTGTTTTCTAAATTTGATTATGCATGAAAATTATTAAAATATTTTTAATGAGACTCTTCGTATGTTCATCCATTAATTGTAAATTACTAATTTTAGTATCTCTGCTATCTAAAAAAGCATGAAACTTAAATAATATATTTTTATGTTATGTTTATTTGTGAGAAAATATTAGTGTTATTGAAGGAAAGAATTAGTCTTTTGCTTTTCAAAAGCCAGAAGAAAAAAATTAGTCCTTTTTTTTTAATTGTTGTGTATGTCGTGGGCAGGTAGGTCACTTCATCTCTCTATATGCTCTGCCTACGTGACTGACAGTATATTTTGTTTGACAGAAAGGGAGGGGAGGGAGAAGAGGTAAAAATTATTTTATTTAGTTAGTTAAAAATTTAGAAGGGGTGGGAGTAGAGTAAAATTTTTTATTTTATTTTTTGTTTTAATTTTTTTCATAATCTAAATGCTACGAGAGAAAAGATAAATAAGAATGTATTTTTTTGTCATTGTTTTCCTTTTTTTTATCTCTATTTCTCTTATATTAAACATATTTTAAAAATTGAACATAGAATATTTATTTTCTTTAGAATAAAAAGCCAACAAACTACCTGCGTTATTGGTAGAATGCGGTTTCTTGTATTAATTATTCTAAAATGTCCCTGCCTAGGGTTCTGTGCCTTAAGAGCTGGGTGTGCCGACCGACAGTCTTCATTTTGGATGTTTGTCCATGCAAGTCCAGCTTTCTCTCCATTTGGGGTTGGAGGTCTTCGGCTTCCGGTGGGTGGTTCTCCATCATCTGGCACAATTGTTGTTATGTTTTCCTCATGTTTTCGACCTACTGGGGAAAGGCAAACTGGGTTTGTGGTATGGATCTCAAAGGGCGCTCATAGAGGCTCGTTGGGTGACTTGTGCAATATTTATCGAGATGATATGGGTTTGTTCGGGGAGTGTAGGTGGTCTGGTTTAATTATTACGGTATATATTGTTGGCAAGCGGGGGTCTCGTGCAATATTTTGGAGGGCATGGAAAGCAAACCTAGAGTAGTTGGGTGTGCGATGAAACATGGGTCCATTTGGCACGCGTTTTTATTAATAAATTAATAAGTATTGTGCGCTGGAAAATAAGTATTGTGTATTGGAAAATTAACATTTTTTATAGTGGTGTTCCTTGTGGTGTTCTTATTTTTCATTGACACTTAGTTCATTTAAAATTCATTTTGTGCATTTTAAATTAGTCTATAATAACTATTATAATTATTTATAATTTTTAATATTTTAATAATTATTATTAAAAAAGTTTATCCAAAATTATATACATCTCAATCATTACTCTTTTATTCTACAAATAATAGAGTAAATAAGAATTATTTTGCACAATCTACTTTGAATATAATATAATGTAATTTGTATTTACGTTAATATAATTAAAGTCAAAATCAAATTATATATTTAGGTAAATTATTTTCAACTTTAAAATATATGTAAATTTAGAAGTTAGATTATTATATGGTAATTAAAGTGAAATTAAAAAAAATGATATAATTAAAATATTACTCTTTGCTGTACCAAAAAAAAAATATTACTCTCTGCATTCAATCTTAGTGGATCTAATTTTTAATTTAGGGTGTCTAAATTTAATTGTCTACTCTTCATTTTTAAGTGTCATTTAATGCATTTATTCTTGTTAATTTTACCCTTACTTTAAAAAGATAATTAAGAAATCTCATTTAAGTTGTGATTAATTAGGGATAAATATAAAATTTTATTAATAAATTATTATATTTTTATTTTATTAGAAACAAAATTATGTTTGTTAAAGTTGAAAGGAGAGAGTATTAAATATTATTATATAGAGAATTAATCTAAAAAGAAATTATATTTATCATGCTCACCAATAAATGTGAAAGAATATTAATTTAATTTAATTAAGCTTTAACTTCCTTAATGATTATTTTTTAAATGGTCATTCGATAATTATTTGAGATTTTAGAAAAATTTTAAAAGATTTACTAGATATTTATTTGATATTAACAGAAAATTTTAATAATTTTTATAATATGATATACAATTTGAACTATTATACAATTTAAAATTATGATTCTCCATGTCATGGACGAAATAATTTCACTCTATTCCTTAGTGGGAATACTGCCTAAAAGGCTTGAGTTTCACCTCACAATTTTCTCTTTCCCCACTCTTTAGTAGTTATAGATAATTGTATTTGTTCAAAAAAAAATATATATATAATTTAAAATTATCAAATCAATTTAAAATTTAAGGTGATAAAT